CGTTGGCTAACAAAGCTAAAGTTATAACTATAAAATGCTAATGTTACACCTGATGTGAAAGCTACTGAGCAAACATTGTTTGGCCAATTTTTATGTAACATTTAGTTGAAATATGGTGATTTTTGTAGTGGTTTATGGTAAGATGTGGAACAATGATGTTGTGTGGTTGTGGACTTATGATGTTGTGAGTAACTTATACCATCTTTGATTTGGATCACACTACCTTGTTTCTTACGACCCTCCCTTCTCTGCTTCTGATTGGCTAATAGTCCTTACCTGGGAACGCATGTGCAACTCCCAACAAAGATTTTGTACAAGTAAGATGCATCACTCTGTAGCTCAGCGGAGCATTATTATATCAGAGTTGAGTTATTATGCTCATTTTCAGTTTCATAATCTTATTTAGGGGTTGTACCAGAACAGGTTTACATGGTTTAATTTTCAAAAAACACCATATTTTTTGTCGAGCAGTATGACAAAAAATATGGTGTTTTTTGCTGCAGGTCCTCTTTTCACCCTGTGTTGAACGCTTCATTTTAGCTATGGAGTGATACATCTTGTCTCTAAATGATCTTTGTTGGGAGTTGCACATGCGCAGTTCCTAGTTTAGGGCTACTAGCCAATCAGAAGCAGAGAATTTTGGGCCAATGAGAAGCCGGTAAACACGGCCCTGTACATGTTGCCGACCAGCTTGGCAACATGGACTGGAGCAAGAGTTTCAGAGTGGTGAGTTATTATTCTGTAACAAATGTATTTTTCATCCATAAACTTTTAACTGAGCTCTGTCTCTACATCACAATAACAACTTTATGTCCATTGACTGCCTGGAGGGTAGCTAGTGTTTGGAAGCGAGAGGAGAGGTGTGTGCTGCAGCTCAGAGTGTTTTTCCACTGTTGTTTTTGAGGGCGTGTCGGACTAGCTGCTTGGTTGGCATTATATGAGGCGCATTTAGCTTTCATCCCTGTGTCATCACTGTGTGAACTCGCAATGTCGCCCTGCATCTCCCTCGGGAAATGGCGCAGAAGGCTCAACACCACTTCTCTCTCCTCGTTTACTCCTCTCATGGAGAGTGAAGTATCAGAACTCCTGACCCACTGGACCCAATTCCTACAAATCTCCTCCAAGCCATATCTCCTACCGTGGTCCCAACAATCACTCGTGATAAATACTTCTCTGGCTTCAGGAACCTTCCTGACCACTTTCAAAAGGGCTCGGGTTACACCCTTGCTCAAAAAGTCCTCACTCGACCCAACTCAAATTGAGAACTAAAACCGGCCAATTTCTCTTCTACCATTTTTATCAAAAACTATTGAACGGGCAGTCTTCAAACAGGTCTCAGAATTCCTCTTACAGAATGACCTCCTAGATACATATCAGTCTGTTTTTAAGTGTGAGTGTGTGTGAGTGGCCACTCTACTGAAACTGCTCTTTTGTCTGTAACAGAAGCCCTAAGATCAGCTAAAACTGCAGCCCTGTCCTCGTTTCTTATCCTGCTTGACACAGTCAATCACAGGATCCTGCTATCTGCACTCTCAGCAATGGGCATCTTGAGTAAAGCACTCCAGTGGTTTGAATTCTACTTCTCTGGGCATTCCTACAATGTTTTGTGGCAAGGACAATTATCCTCCTCCCACCTCACTGGGGCTGATCATTCGCTCGCACGGCTTCTCTTACCACTGCTATTCAGACGATACATAACTCTACCTATCCTTCCCACAAGACGACCCCACCATCTCGGCGCAGATCACAGACTGTCTCAGATATCTGCATGGGTGAAGGCTTGCCACCTTCAACTAAACCTCTCTAAGACGCTCCACATGCCATCAGAGCAGCATTCCTCTCTAACTTCAAGAAGCTCTTGAAAACTCATCTCTTCCGAGAACACTTCCTCTTATAACACCTCTAACTCCTGTCCCCTTACAATTATCTTGTATTGATCACACTTTTTTGTTAACTTCTAACTTCTTCTTGTCTACTTCTTTCCCTAGGTATTTAACCCATTGATACGATATATTACTATGTATGTATTGTTATTTGTAGATCTCGTACTGTATTTGATGCTTTGTTGATGCTTGTATGTTCTTCCTCAAATGTAAGTCGCTTTGGATAAAAGCATCTGCCAAATGAGGAAATGAAAATGACTACAAACGAGCTGTTTTCAAGCAGTTCAGAGCAGTGTTTTTTGTGGGAGATGGGAACTCCCTTTGGGCTAGACTTTGGGCTTTTTCACTTTGCAAACCTATTACATGCACAAAAATGGTATATAACTCAATGAAGGCGAGGGAAAAGGCCAAAAAAGCGTAATACCACCTCTTTAAGATGCACTGTCAGTGCTTGAAATGGGCCGGAACACCCTGGTACATAGTACCGGCACCTCAACATTTTACTCTTTGGCATACCAGGACATTTTCTTGCTTACCGGGACTTCTCCCAAGCAGCCGGTATTCTCCTGCATAATAAGAAAACATGCAATGCAATTGAAATATAAAAGAAACAAATTTGCATTGTCCAAAAGCTGATTAATTAATTATATTCCATTATATTTTGAATTGTCACCTTAATTTAGTTTCCCTTCAAATAAATGAAGACATTTCCTCCATAAGTTGGTGCAGAAAATGTGTTCAGAATGCAGGAAATGAAGTGGTGTATGTGCAAAGTCGTTAATGTTATAATATTTACTAGTTTCATCTTGTGCACTGTAGATTCATCAAAGCTAACTAGAAACATGTTCTATAAAGTTTTATTGTTAAACTCTAGGTGGGAGAGTTTTGCACCAGCCCTTCTGCAACTGCAGCTGAGAAAGACAGTGATGCATGCTAGTCACCTGCTTTACTGAATCAGCAGCAAAAAGAAGAAGTATTAGCTACATTTTTTTTAATCTTGACACATAATATGTCAAATAAAACATCACACAGGGGTTAGCTAGTTTGTTTGTTTATTTCAAAAGGTCAGTAAATGCGAAATGGTCCAAAGTTAGCTAAAAAGGATGTATTTTATCTGGTGTCCCGGGCCAGATGTTACAGCAGACCCTACAATGTGATTTAATGCCTTGACTAAAAACATTATTTCAGAGAAACTGTATCTAAAAATTTTCAAATCCAGGCTTAAAGGGAAACATTAATGTGAATGTGACATGGGGAATGGCTGAGTGCAGAAGCTGAGAACTGAGGTGTGGACCCAAATGCAGACTGTAGGCGAGGTAGTTGCAGTTCGAATAAGGATTTATTAACACAAAACTAAACAGGCTTACGCTGGGAGCTCAGTGGCAAATGTTCAAACAAAAGGGAACTCCAACTCCAAACAAAACATAATCCAAAGGGAAGAATCCATGAACAAAGTACAAACCAATGAAGTAATCCAAAAGGGCAGGGAAGGCACAGAACACTCAACACAGACGACGCAGATAATGCGGACAATGCAGACAATACAAGGACGTGACAAGGAGTGAAGAAAACTGAGGACAATATATACACACGTAAACGAGCATGGAGGGAAGTACAGCTGAGATACATCAGGTAATCAGACAAAGCTAGACAAGGACACCAGGTACAGAAGGTTACCAAAATAAACAGGAAGTAAAGTTCACAGGAACACACAAGGACAGATCTACCAAAGTAAAATGCAAAAACATGGAAAAACAGCAAAATCATCTAAAACATGGAGATAAGACTAAGGACTAAGACAGACCATAATGAGAAAATACAGAAGTAAACCGATAAGGAAAACACTAAACATGAACTAAAGCACAGGACCAAGAACTAAGATGAGAGATAAGACAATTACAAAGAAAACTTAAAGCGAAAGAGCCAAAATAATAAACTAGACTACAAAACTCCAAACCATGACAATATCAAATAAAACACAGGAAAAACAACAGCACAAAACCAAATCCTAACAGAATGTGGCATAAAATTCTGATAGTATTAGTCATATCATTAAGACACAACTTATTAAAAAGTATGTGGCATTATTTTTATTTGTACTTCTATGTTGTTGTTGTGTTTGTTTTTGTTTTTTATTTGTTTGTTTTTTGTATTTTGTACTATACAGTATTTTGAGTTTAGGCCTTTATGTGCATGTGGACCACACCTTATAAACCTTACAGACTTTAGGTTAATTCAAAATGTATTTGCTGCTGTCAATTTGTAGTATAATTCAATTCAAATTAGCTATACTTTGTAGTATGTAAAAATAGTTTTTAGGAGACAATGTTGAAAAGTCAATGTAGTGTTAGATTTATAGTATTCTGATAAAAAATGTAGCTTTCCAGCATTGGAAACTAAGCTAAGTTTAAATCACATAGTGATGACTAGAGCAATAAACATTTACACAGGGAAAGTATTTGTGACCACAAACTGAGCCGTTCTCATGTGCCTCTGGCTGTTAGATTAGATTATGAACATTATGTTTTCTACATGTACTGTAAGCATCATGTTGCTTTCTTTAGTAGCTGCTATGTAACTAAGAGTCCTATAAATAAATAAATACTGAAAGACGTTTGACTATTTCTTGCTCGTTTGTTGAAAATTAAAGCAAAAGGGCCACATTTTGGAAAACATCCTTCTTTGTGTTCTGGCAGAGAGTTAGAGGATTGTTACCGCTGTCATGTCTTTACGATAGTTATTTTTCTATGTTATTGATCATTCAACTCCACCAGCCCATCAGCCACTATGTTTCACATTCTCACGGTTTCCTCTAAATCGTAACATGAAAGGTCTGACATCAGCCCCCAGTTTTGGCTGCCCACCCTTACTGAAATGGCTGCACCCTTATGATGTGAGCTGCTTCACGTAAAGAAAGCCACCACCACACGGCATGTGAATAACATGGATACGATGACTGGTAAATGACAAAAGCTGTTACCACCAAACTTATAAATGAACATGGTACACAATAATTCTCATGTCATACTCGCATCCATTTTGCTGACTCATGCATTTCCACGGTCAGACCACATCCTTTGAGCTTAACACATAAAGACAAGTGTGTGCACTGAGGTGGGTTTCAGTTCATTTATCATCCCATCAAAGAGAGAGTAAAGAAGAAATGTTCTGCCCAGGAGCTTTATCTGTTTTATTCTCTTGTATGGTCCTCCTCATTGTCCAGTCAAGTGAGTAATATCTTTTATATATTGCAGTCAGACTGATATCTTGCTCATTCATGTAAACGTTCAGAATGCAAAGTAATGCTACTGTGTTTTATTTGGTTTCAACCAATTGTTGATTCATTTATCTAGTGTTTAGTTAAATTAATTAGTGTATTCCGTTTTAGGTCATGGCTCTGAGATTATTGGGGGGAAAGAGGTGGAGCCCCACTCGTTGCCTTTCATGGCTCTGCTGGAGAGCAAAATACCAGTCTGTGGAGGGACACTAATAAGTCCAAAATGGGTCCTGACTGCTGCCCACTGTGCGGAGTAAGAACAAGATACTTCCTAAAATGTTCAAGACAAATTTCTACTGATGAAGTAAAAGCTGGTGTGTACTGGTAAATTAAAGCCTTACTATAGTTGGAGTTTTGATGAAAAAGATCAGATCTGCTTTGATGTTGAATATTTGCACTTTTTGTAAAAATAGTAAAAAGTAAAAATCAAACAAGGAAAAATGTTTTCACTAACCAAATCAGAGATACAAGCATATAAGACACACAATGATGACTGCTTTGAACTGTTTTGAACACTAATATTTAAGATAAGGTTATCCAAATGCATTCAGACAGAATGACATGTAAAGTACATGATGGCCAAACTTCTGACAGGGAAGAAAAAACAAGAGATTGTCATCAAGTAAAAATTGTCTTTTGCTTCAACAAACCACAAAAGACACGCGTTGAGAGAAGACATACTCTTGAGCCTTGTAACATTTGTATCTGTATATACTATATGTCACTTTCTAAACAAGTCCATGTCTTTGCTGTGGTCCTGTTACCATTTATTATAGATAACACGTCTTCTAAATTAGTTGACTCCACAAAGAACAGACTGAAAGAGGCGGACGTTAAAGAGAAAGATTCCTCTAATATTAGATGCAAAAGCAGATCTATTGATGCAAAATTCTGCCTTTATAAATTCATCTCTGGAAGAGTGAAGATAAACATTATAGTTTTATATCAGTCCACACCCATAAGTGTCAATTTTTTACAGTACCTACTGCGCACATCAGCCCTGTTAGGGGGTAAACACTTCATTTGACACTTATCAACTAACACTTAAGTCTCAACACTCACTGATACTGAGGGGAAAAAACTATATTTTCTCAATGAAGGCCATATTCTGACCTACATATAAAAAAGCAACTGTGATAATGTCATCATTACGTCACTAACTAGCATGTTAGTGTATGTGAACATTGTTCTGATGAAACCCTGTTTCCTGCTCTTAGCATTAAGAAGGTGTACCTGGGGGTGCACTCCATCAAAGCAAAGGAAAAAGATTCACGGCAGGTCCGAAAAAGGTGAAGCGCAGTTTTCCTCATCCCTGCTATGATAAAGCAGATAAGGTCAATGACCTCATGTTGCTCAAGGTAAGGTAACATTACAGTAACCAATAATGAGCGGTTGACGATCGTTGGACTAATACAAAACAATACATATGAAAAACGATATGAGCTTTCTGTGACTGCTTTGTTAGCAGCGACATTTTTAACAAGCCTGCATTCATGAAAACCTACTTTCCTTGTGCTGTGACCAGTGCTATTTAAACAATGAATGATACAAACAGCGATTTGATTAACAGTCTACAGATGTTTGCAGTCTATTCAGGTGACAAACACAAGATTTAGACAAATAAATTACTACAAGAATTCTAATCTCCAGAGCCCCCATGTTATTATAGATACTTTTATATCACTTAAACTGGATGGGTAACAGTGCTCAAGAATGATGCTAGAAAAGAAATTTCTAAATGTTATGTCTATTTTTTAATTTCAGCTTGACAAACCGGTGAAGCAAACCAAGACGGTGAAATGTCTCGGGTTCGGTAAGACCATCAGAGAACCAGCAGCGGGCACCAGCTGTCTGGTGGCTGGATGGGGGAAAACAAACAATGCTTCCAAGCAAATGTCAGATGTCCTGAAGTCTGTCAATGTGACTGTGATCGACAGAGTCAAGTGCAACTCTCCTGAATATTACGGCCTTAAGCCTGTTATCACCAGCAGCATGATATGTGCCGGTTCAGACGGTAAAAACAGTGCTGATACCTGTCAGGTGAGAATGTTTTGTGCAGGAAGTAAACAGCCTGTCCCCAACATATCACCAATTTCACTGCTATGTTGTGCCTACAAATGACATGTCATGTGTTTATTCTCTCTCTAGGGGGATTCAGGAGGTCCACTGTTGTGCAATGGAGCACTAGTCGGAGTCACATCCTTTGGACGGGAGTGTGGCCTGATTAAAAAGCCTGGAGTGTACGCTTTTCTTTCAGAAAAACAACTCAGCTGGATCAAAAATACAATGAAGACGTCTGATATATAATTAGCCCTCCCTGTTTATTATTCGGTGTTCTTGACCACATTAACCTCTTTAAACGTGTCTGTCTCTGTTATTATAGATAATTAGGCATTTAAAGAGCTTGGAGGGTGGTTTCTTTTTTTAGCACTTTCAAAACTAAAAATACAAGAGCAGAAATGTTAGAAATAGATTAAACTTTGTGTTGAACTGCTGTAATGTAAGCTGCTTTCATTTGCATGTCTGCCTAATTAGACTAGCTTAAAACAGTAATAAACAAGCATTACTTCCAAAGCTAAGGAACAAAAAATTTGCTTAAAAAAACTTACGATCAGCTTCAGTTTTTGTGCTTTTATTTTTCTGCTTAACACAAATGTGTGGATGTATTTTTAAAATGAATTCATAGTTTTATATTTTTTCACATACATCCAGGTAAGTGCATAATCATCCATAGATTACTACAATATGACTTTGCTGCAATATAATCAAGCCAAAGGCAAAGGGGATTTTTTAAGTTGTACACCAAAGAGTTATCTCTCTTAAGATGAAAGCAAAACACCAAAGTGACATTATTTAGCCTATTAACCAGAGATATTCACCACTTACTGCATCCAAAGCTTAAAGGGGCCATGTGTAGTTTTCAGTTGCCTCCAGGGGTGAGGTTTCAGATTGCTACTCTTTCTTTTTTTTCCCCCAACTTTGTTTATTGAATTTTTAAACATATAAACAACAGTTATAAGAAAGCAAGTATCAAGTTTCTCATTATTATTATTACAAAACTCAAATAATGTACAAGACTCTTGTAAATATATATATAAACAAACAAACAAAAAAGGTAGAACATTCATTAAAGGCAAGTCATTAAAACAGATCAGACAGTGTACAAAGGGTTGTTTGTCAGTTCAGGATGTTAGGAAAAGTAAACTTATTTGCATACTCAAAAAATGGCCCCCATGTTTTGCTGAAAAGGGCTGACGATCCCCTCAGTGTGCAACAGATTTTCACCATGTTGATAAAGTAAAAAATGTCCTTTATCCACACATGACAGGTCGGGATTTCCACTTCATAAGAATGAGAAGTCTAGCTGTGGGGGGGGTACAAAAGCTACCAGGTTCTTCTTATAATTTGGTATAGCAGGTATGACGGTGACTACAAATACCCCGCCGAAGGTGTGAAAGAGACAGAGGTGATCTGTGAAATAGTATTAAAAATTTTCAACCAAAAGGTATTCAAAGAAGGGCATGCCCAAAGCATTTGAAAATAGGTTGCTGAGTACTGGCGACATCTGTCACAAATAGGATCAACATCACCATATATTTTAGACAGTATGACCTTGGTTAAATGACAGCGGTGAAGAATCTTACATTGTAGCAACCCGTGCCTAGCAGATAGGAGGAAGAATGGACCAGCCGCAGACACTCATCCCAAACATCATCTGCAAGTTCACATTGTAAATCATTCTCCCATATCGTCCTAATAGTACAAAGTGAGGCTGGGTTTATAGAGTGAATAAGATTATATAACACAGAGATCATTCCCTTCGTAGCAGGCAGCGGGGTCAAAAATGTGTCCAATCCAGTGGGTTCCGGTACATTTGGAAAACTGGGGTAAACATTTCTAACAAAACTATGAATCTGCAAACATCTGAAAAAGTTATTTTTTAGGAAAAGCAAACTTCTCTGAAAGCTGCTGGAAAGATGAAAATATGTCATCATTATACAAGTCCTTGACTGTTTTGATACCACGCGCCTGCCAGGAAGAGAGCGCTCCATCCATTAGTGAAGGGTGAAATAGCAGGTTTGGTGCTAGAGGGGCCAGTTCAGAAGGAGCACTGAAGGCGGAAATATCGTCTGAATTGTCTCTATATCCTCACATTGGATTTAACTATTATACTTTTTGAATAGGGTGAGCATGGACAAGCGTAGACAGAGAGGCTGGTTTGGCAGACATAGATTCCATAATTATCCATGCTGGGGGAGAACCAGAGTCCTCAAAATGAAGCCAGAACTGGATTGCCCTGAGGTTACAGGCCCAGAAATAAAATCTAAAATTTGGCAATGCCAGACCCCCCTGAGATTTTAGTCTCTGAAGCAAGGGTCTGCATAGTCTTGGGGTCTTCTTGTTCCAGATAAATTCAGATATTAATTTATCAATCTTGGAGAAAAAAAAAGACGGTGGGCAGACATTGGAATAAATAGGAAAACTTTGGGAGGGTATTCATTTTGATAGAGACTAGAGTCCAGCACTCAAAGTCATCTTGCATCTTAGCAACCAATGGGAGAATGTTAGATTTAAATAAATCCTCGAACTGAGCTGTCACCCGAATACTAAAGTATAAAAAGTATACAAAACTATCTGAAGCAACTTTGAATGGAAAGTTGTGCAGTAGGAAACTTCTTGCTGCTGGATTCAAGGGTAAATGTGTCTAAAATAGTGCGAAATGAGACTGAGGGGTCCGAAATGTACACTGAAAGATCTGCGTAAAGGGAGACAGTATGCTCGACACCATACCTGAGTACACCTCTGATGCGTGGGTGTGACTGAAGGGCCACAGCAAGAGGTTCAATGGCAATAGTGAACAGGAGGGGACTCAGAGGTGGGCAGACATTGGAATAAATAGGAAAACTGTGTCAGTGCCGGGTGGAGCGACGGAGAGGAAAATGTTCAGAGAGGATGTTGTTGATTCTAATGGATGCTGTGGGTGAAGTGTATTCTCACCCAGGAAATAAACTTATTGCCAAAACCAAACTTCTGTAGGGGACAGAAAAGATAATCCCACTCCACCCGGTCAAAGGCCTTCTCTGCATCAAGCGAAATTAAGACTTCTGGCATGCGTGATGAAGAGGTATTGTACAGGATGTTAAAAAGCCTCCTGAGATTAGAAAAATATTACTGTTTCAAGCATATGCTGGTGCGCATGCCCAGACTACTGTCTAGCACTCTGCATCAGCCAAAACAAAGACATAACAAGAGACGGTTTCACACAAAATGATGGAAAGTCAGGTAAACTCCCCCTGCATTGTTACAATATTTTTATCAGCTTGTATTGAAGTAATGCTCGTTGCATAATAACGCTACACTGACTGCATTTAGCGACATGATATATCTGTGTTACCTGTTTTCTCAATAACTATTTGTTGTCTTTCACTGGAGAGGCTCAGTAATGTCAGCATAGCTAAATTTACTGGATGATGATGAAAATGGTTAGTGAGCAAGATTGATTATTATAAATGAGATTGTTGCCACACTTTAGTTAGACTGTAGTAAATAATGTTACTGTAGTCAATGGGTCTTCCACTTTGTATTATGTGGGTCAAGTATGTTACAGCGACTTTGACCCACGAAAGTGTGTACCTGAGTAACAGTAAAATGACAATAAATGTAAATTGAAGGGTTACTAATTAAACAACAGCTGATCCATGCTGATGTAGCTGCCTTGCATCACTATTGGCTAGTAGAACAAATTGTTGTACATTTGCTTTGTACCGTTTGTTGTATGTGCAGCACATTCCTATACATGCGACTACATTTATTCATTTAGCTGACGCTTTTATCCAAAGCAACTTCAGTTGTTATATGTCAGAGTTTGCACGCCTCTGGAGCAACTAGGGGTTAAGTGTCTTGCTCAGGGACATGTGAATGTGTCACAGTGGGGAATTGAACCCTCACACCAAAGGGACATATCTTATCCACTCTGCCGTCACCACCCACAGACTACTGCTATGCATAAAATAACACTGCAGCACACATTAACAACATATTTAAGGAAAGAACCAAAATTGAATAAGAAAATGTAAAACTTAGTTGTGGGCACCCGCCTTCCAGGTGGGAGATCAGGATGAAGGAGAGCCATCTTGGATTCATCATGGCACCCAAACTGGAAGAAAAACCTGAAAACACAGGAGAGAGAGAGGCAGGCCAACACCACATAGTCCTAAGGCAACAGGCCGTCACACAGGCTAAAATCAACACTTTGACATAATACCTGTGGTTCACAAGATAGTAATATTAGCTGGTGAAGAAATGTGGCTAGCAAAACAACTATAGCATTTTGCAACATATAGCCCCTTGAAAGTGGGTTAGCAAAAGGTCATTGAGGCTTAAGCTTAAGTCTTGTAAAAATATGTTGTGATAAAGGTTTGTACTCACACCTCATTATTTCTTCATTATTGATCCACATTCTTATTGCATGAAAACCCCAAACCAGAGACATTTTCTACCGTTCTAATGTATTATTTTTCTATTTATACGACTCATTACAGTAGCTCCTCACAGGTTTGTGTATCAGTGGTCTGGTTTCAGGTTGTGTGAGATCTGTGTTCAAATAAAAACTCCTAGATGTCATCATTTAGTTGTGTTTTCTGTCTTCCTCCTCTTTAGGTCATCTGTAGATGATGCTAAAATGCTTCCTATGTGGGGCAATTACAGTAATGTTAAAGCAGTAAGAGTACATGATGTTCTGAACCACAAAGAAAAAAAGATTGTCATGATGCTGTACTTGGTGAGACCGCACCAAGACAAATTCACATGGCATATCTTAAGACCCCAAACAGGAAATGTGCAAAATGTCAGTGTTGCCTTTTTTCGAATAGGCTACTGAAGGAGACATTAACAGTGAACACACCTCAAACATCCACTTCCAGTAAAAGTTGTGTTTGCAGTAGTCATCAAAGTTGGCTCAGTAACATTTCTGGAAGGATTATTCAGCAGTTTCTTTGTCTCCCTTATCTTAAATACTGTTGTTCTCCTTCATTCCTTAGAGCTGAAGGAGCCCATTTGTCTCTCCACTTTAGTGGGGTTTTTTAATTTTTGTGGGTTTATTGTGTTGCATGCAAGTCAGCTAATTACATACACCCACTCTTTATGACCTGGGACTTACTGTAATGTGGCACTGACATTCACTTTTTATATTACATCACTAGGTGGTGCTCTCTACCAGTGTTGCAGAAATTTATAGAAGTGAGATTTCACTCAGCTGTGTTCAAGATAATTTCACTCAGCTAAAAGTAAGACTAAAATGACTTTGTTAAAAAAAACACACACAAGTTATGTTAATAAGAGACATGTTTGTTGCTTGTTCAGTTTACAATAATTAAATATATAGACTAGCAGAAATGCGTTTTTTTATGCTTTTCTATTGCAACGCTTGTGAACGCAGGTTGGGAAACACTGCTGTACATGATACTGTATCATCACCTCTTAGAGAAAATGGTAACGCGTGCGTGAAGTTGCATAACTTGCAGAGTCACATTTGGGGAATCATTAGATGTCTGAAGAGGTAAAATGATTGAGTAAATCAGATGTTAAAAAAAAAGAAGAAGCAAAGAGTAGTGGAGAGCCCTAAAAGATTACCATACATTTGTGGAGAAGAAATGTGATTTTTTTATTTATTTTTTTTGCTTTCCTATCCCCTTTATCACTTCTCCCCTTTATTTAGAGAAAATGAAGTGATCAGGAACAAATAAAAGTGGGATTATTGCTTTTTCCATCAATATCACATCCTATTTAACAACTCTCTGTCTCTGTCAACTAACCTGTCTATTTCTTATCAAACAGGTTTAACATAATACATTTGTACTTGTAACATTCAACAGAATTGGGTGTGATTAATGCTTATTAATTTCATTTACTTCATATATATAAAGACAGAACAAGTCTACATCCATGCACAGTGAGACTGCTTTGACATAAATGCTAACAAATCTTATATTGCTGGATCATGTTGGCATGCTAACATTTGCTTAAGCTACATCTGAGGATGACAGGAATGTCACTGGCTCTGTTCAGCATTTGGTTATGAACCAAAGTATTGGACAAATATAAGTTTTTAACTAATGATGCCACCAGGGGATAGATTAAGGG